GTGTACTATTCGGCTGGGGCTGGTTCATCAGGGATGACTGGTGTCCCGCATATCTCAGGGTACTATCAATTTCCCATATCTTCTGGACAGCCAGTCTTCACTCCCGCGGCTCCTACAACGTTCAATTCTTCTATTTCTTCTAACTCCGTTTGTTCATCAATTCCTTCTGAGACTGCCTGGTATCCTGATACAGGTGCTACGCATCATGTCTCAAATGATCTACAAGCTTTTGACTCAGGTATAGTTTACACCGGTGTAAATACCTTACTCATGGGCAACGGTGAGGGGGTCAAAATTGATCATATTGGTCGAGGTTTTTTTCCTACGAAACAGAGGTCTTTAATTTTACGAAACATGTTGCATGTTCCTAATATTAAGAAGAAGCTATTATCTGTCTCACAATTTACACGTGATAATAATGTTTTCCTTGATTTTCATGCTTCTGAGTGCTTTGTGAAGGATGCTCAGACCAGAAGGCTTCTTCTTCGATGGAAGCTCACGGATGAGGGACTATATCAGTTGTTTCCATATGATGATCAGCTGTCTTATGATAAGCAGAAGACAGGTTTTCAAGCTCATAATGTTTCTAGTTCACAGGATGTTTTGGAGCTGTGGCATAGGAGGCTAGGTCATCCCTCTATGGATGTGGTCTTATCGGTTATGAAAGCTTGTAATATCTCTTCAAATAAATCTAAAGTCAATCATGTTTGCACTACGTGCATGCAAGGCAAAGAACACAAATTACCTTTTTGTAAGTCTTTGACTGAATACAATGAGCCTTTTAAATTGATTGTGTCTGATGTTTGGGGACCTGCACCAGTTGTTTCTTCAGATGGTTTTGCTTATTATGTCTCGTTCATTGATGTTTTTAGTCGACACACGTGGGTTTATTTGCTTAAACGCAAATCTGAAGTCATGCAGTGTTTTCTTGACTTTGTAAAAATGATTGAAGTTCAATTTGATCGTAAAATCAAGATGTTGCAATCTGATGGAGGTGGTGAGTATCAGGCTTTACGATCTTGGTTCAGAACGAATGGGGTGCTGCATCGTATTTCTTGTCCTGTAACCTCTGAACAAACTGGTAAGGCCGAGAGGAAGTATAGGCATATTGTTGAGATGGGTCTTGCCATGTTGTCTCAAGCCTCGCTGCCACTTAAATTCTGGAGCTATGCATTCGTTTCAGCGGTTTACCTAATAAATCGACTTCCTACCAGTGTTCTAAATGGTCGATCTCCATTTGAAGTTCTTTATGGACAATTTCCAGATTATTCTTCTGTTTGTGTGTTTGGCAGTGCGTGTTTTCCTTGTTTACGCTCCTTTAATCAGAACAAATTACAAGGTCGCTCTCAAAAATGTGTGTTTCTCGGTTACAGTTCTTCTTATAAAGGTTACAGATATTTGAATGATTCGGGCAAAGTCATACTTTCTCGCCATGTTGTCTTTAATGAGGAGGAGTTCCCTTATAAAAAGATAAGCTGTGTGGATTGCACATATAGTCAAGATAAGACTGTTGTAACTACTGGTGTGCTGCCAATAGTTGTTCCCAGTATTGCTAATAACTTTGCACCCGATACTGGTCACAGTCAGCAAGCAGTTCCTCCATCAAATAATAACTCTGCCCCCGATACTGGTCACAGTCAGCAAGTTGTTACTCTATCAAATAATACAAGAGTACTACCTTGTAATGGTGATAGTTCATCTACTACAAGGTATCATACGCTCTCTGTGATTCCAGAATATGTGGAACCTACTAATGAAATTTCTCTTGCAGGTACTATGTTTTCTGATCATGTAGAACATTCATCTGATGTACAGGAGCCTATTCCTTCAACTGCTCATCCAGCCATTGAGCCTGTTCATCCAGTTGTGGAACCTGTTTCAAGTTCAGTACATGCTTCAGAGGGTAACATTTCTGCCTTAGGTAATTCTCATCCCATGCTTACGAGAGGGAAAAATGGCATTCGAAAACCAAAGGCTCTTCAAGTTGCCTGCCTAGAGAAGGAACCTTACTCCATCAAAGAAGCCATGTGTAGTCCTCACTGGGCTAAAGTCGTGCAAGAAGAATATGAGGCTTTAATGAAGAATGGGACTTGGTCGTTAGTTCCTCTTCCCAAGGGTCGACAGGCTGTTCACTGCAAATGGATCTTCAAGGTAAAAAGAAATCCCGATGGGACTGTGTCTCGCTACAAGGATCGTCTTGTAGCCAAAGGGTTTCTTCAGCAGGCTGGTGTTGATTTCCATGAGGTATTCAGCCCAGTGGTCAAGCCAACCACTGTTCGTGTTATCATCTCACTTGCCTTGTCCAAAGGATGGCAGCTCCGTCAAATTGACATCAATAATGCTTTTCTGAATGGTGTGTTGACTGAAGAAGTTTACATGAAGCAGCCGCCTGGATACGAGCAAGGAAATGAAGGGTTGGTGTGCAAACTCAACAAAGCTATCTATGGCCTGAAACAAGCTCCTCGTGCCTGGTTTGATAGTCTTCGAATGTACTTGATTTCGGTGGGATTTGCTTTGGCACGATCAGACTCCTCATTGTTTGTTCGAAAATCAGCTACTAGCATAGTGTATGTGTTAGTTTATGTCGATGACATAATTCTAACATGGAGCAGTGCAGATGAAGTTCAAGAGGTGATTAGTGACTTGAACAAGCAGTTTTCCTTGAAAGACCTTGGCTCTCTTAATTATTTTTTGGGGATTGAAGTATGCTATGATAACGATGGATTAGTTTTAAGCCAGAAGAAATACATCTATGAGTTGTTAGAACGGTATGGCTTCAGTGATGCTAAAGAACTTCCTACTCCTATGGTTTCTATAAACAAGCTTTCAGCAAATTGTGATGAACTCATTACGAATGGCACTGATTACCGAAGCATAGTAGGTGCCCTTCAATATGTTGTAGTAACTCGTCCTGATATCGCTTACTCAGTAAACCGGGTATGTCAATTCATGCAGGCACCATGTAACATACACTTTCAAGCAATCAAGAGGATCCTGCGGTATCTTCGAGGTACTGCTGACTATGGGCTACGGTTTACTTCATCATCACGATTGTCTTTAACCGAGTTTGCTGATGCTACGTGAGCCTCTGATGTTGATGATAGGAGGTCTACCTCGGGGTTTTGTATTTACTTTGGAGGGAATCTTGTTGCATGGAGCTCTCGTAAGCAACAAGTCGTTGCACGATCTACTGCTGAGGCTGAATATAGGAACGTTGCCTCTGCTGCTGCTGATCTAGTATGGATTAAGGCTTTGCTTGAGGAACTTCACGTTGATGTGCATGGTCGAGCAACCTTGTGGTGTGATAATAGGAGTGTCGTGGCTGTTTGTGCTAATCCTGTTCTTTATTCAAAATTCAAGCATGTTGAGTTTGATTTGTTTTTTGTGCGTGAAATGGTAGCCGCTGGAAAATTGCAGGTGCATGAGGTTCTGACTTATGAACAAATTGTTGATGTTCTGACAAAGCCTCTCTCAGCACCTATGTTTGTAAAGCATCGACAAAAACTCTTGGTCACTCGAGTGCCTAAAAGATTGGAAGAGCATGGGAAATGCTAAATTGCAGTTGTTGTCTCGAATGTTGGCAAGCATAAGAAGTATTGATCATTGATCCTCACTCTGCTGCTTAGGAGGTTAGAAAGCATTAGGAATGATTGGCGTTATAGAAGTGCAGAAGATGAGTGAATGTAATAGGTTCCTATGAGCTTACAAGTTGTTAGTGATAGGTAGTTGAGTTTTCTATTTCAAGTTGTTATGCTTCTGTTTAAACTGTTATGCTTCTGTTTTTCAGTTCAGTTGTTAGCTCATAAAGCTATAAGTAAGTTGTATTGTAACAAGAAACGTATCTTCTTGTTTTTTTTTCTTAATCAAGGTTTAGAGAGCCTTTTCTCTCTTTTCTCGTTTCCTGTTCATTAAGCTATGTTAATGAACCTTAACACTCCGTTCGTTCCCGGTCCGGCGTTAGCCATCGAGAGCACCCCCGGCCCGATGTGTTTCTTGATGAAGTTCTCGTCCTCGAACTTGGCTCCGTATATGGATTCGCCTCCGGTGCCGTTTCCGGCGGTGAAATCACCCCCTTGGCACATGAAGTTGGGGATCACACGGTGGAAGCTAAAGCCTTTGTAGTGGAGGGGTTTTCCGCTACGCCCGACGCCTTTCTCGCCGGTGCACAGGGCACGGAAGTTGTCAGCCGAGCGGGGAGTGCAATCAGCGAAGAGCTCCATCACTATCCTGCCAGCCGGTTGGCCTCCGATTGTCAGTTCGAAGAAGACCTTAGGATTTGCCATTGTAGAAAATATTTACCTTGTAAAAAGTAAGAAAGAACAAAACAATTAGTGGATTTGGCAAATTAATTTTGGTGGTTGGTTCTGATTTAAGCGAAAGGGAGGGAGTTTCTATAGCGGAAGAGGGACTGGGCCAGTGAGAGATATACACGAAGTCTAGTCGTCGGTGAGGATAGCCAGATTTGGGTTTAAGGCTTGAATGGCGTTACTGTTAAGTGGTACTAGGATAAAGTTTTTGATTTGTTTTTTTACATATATTTTCTACTTTCTACCTTAATCATTAAATTAAAAAATATCCTAATTATTTTTATTATTATTTTTATTTGAATTTAAGTACGTGTTAATACAAATAATTAATTGATACGGACATGATTAATATTTTTTAAAAATATATATATTATTTTTAAACAATTTCAAAATTTATATTCAATACGAATATTTTAAAAAGGGTGAGTATGAACAGCATAATATATATATTACACAAGTTTTGGCACCAAAAATTTGCTGATCATCGAAAAGCGTAATATATATATACACTGAAGCATTGAACTTAAGGCACTGTTTGCTTAACTTGTTTCTCTTTTGTGCCAACTACCCAACATACTTTGGAGAGGCGTATTATAGTGGCTCCGTATCCCTACCACCTGCTTAAAGCAATGTTCCAAAGACCATTGAAGATCACATTACTTCTGCAGATAATAAAAGGGGTCAAATAACAATTGTCAGAAGTGGGGTTCAAACCCACGCTCCCTAACGAGAATCAGAACTTGAGTCTGGCGCCTTAGACCACTCGGCCATCCTGACCATTTGACACCTTGAGCAACGGTTGTCTGCTAGTACTGCCAGCTGTATAGAATTATTCTGTTAGATTTCTGTAATGAGGGAATATAAGCAACATGAATGTAATGGGAAATCATTCTGGCAAATTTTAATGGAAAGTTCTTCTTAAATCTATTCCTCTTTTCTAAAATCCCCAAAATTTCTACTTGATTTCGTTACAGGCTATAACACTCAACGTCGATGCCTCAACGACGATGAAAGCCGCTAAAGGGATCAAACAAAGTGTCAAAATATGAGATACAAAGTAATGGTAACCCAGTTTCACATACTTGAACTTCACATTTGGTAACAAATCCCTTAACTCCGTTGTTTGAACTATTCTCTGCAGTTTTCATGACAACGAGTAATTCAAAAGCTTTGGTTTCTTTTTGAACAAGAAAACGAAACGTGGATTTTTAGAGGTGGGAGTTTCCAGATACATTCAAAGTCTTTGTACTTTCTTCTTCTTAGCCAATCATCTTTGACTATGGTGTTTTGTTATCCATTTTTGGAGTTTCGTTAATGGAACGTGAACTCGAAAGACGTGGATTTTCCATTCGTCTTTGGGAGAGTCAAAGTGAGGGGTCCAAAGTCTCAACATGCCTTACTTGCATGACTTGACGTAAGGAGAAATTAATGTTAAGGGTTGTATTTTTCTGACTCGGCTCATTATTTATGAACAAATCAACGACATTCCCAACAAACTATTTTAATGGTTTATATTATTTTTGTACAAGTTTACGAACAAGCTCCATCTTTGATGATAATTTCAAACACAAACAAAACTTAACTTCTTTGGGTAAGCTTGTAATTCGTTAATGCATCATGTCTTAACTTTACCAAAGTGTCAATGCTCAATTTTTATCAAAATTTTCCTCCAATAAAAACAGCAATTCTTTATGCAAATTGATGCCATGAAAGAAAAAATAGGTATCAACTACCACATTAAACATTACAATTTTAAAAATGAATTCACATATAATATAATTTAAATCAAAATAAAAATCTGAAAAGAGCTCTATGATTTTTCTAAATTCAAAACAGGTGGCATCATGATCTTAATATCCGTATGAAGCAGCATCATGATCTTAATATCCGTATGAAGCAGCATCATAATATATTAGAAAGGGAATAAGCAAATCATTTAGCACTGGAATTACACATTCTTCATTCAACATAGCTTGCTTATATACACTGTTGTATCAAGCTCTTAACAGCCTCTTAACAGCCTAACAGCCTGCATAACTGCTCTAATAGCTTGGCTTAATACCCTAACAACTTAACTAACTACATCACCTTAGCTGGCCAAATACTAACATGTGTAGCACGTGTAAATCAGTTATATTAGTCTAACATTCCTCCTACTTGTTCCTGTTTTCTTTTGTTTTTGAATTAAACTAGGTATTACACATATCTTGTTGCGAAACTTCTCGAACACAATTCTTGCCAGGGGTTTGGTGAAGCTATCAGCCACCTAATGAGCTGCTGGAACGTAGTTAACTCAAATTTGCCCAGCAGCTACCTTCTCACGCACAAAGTGCACATCCAAGTCTATGTGCTTCGACTGCACATGGTAAACAGCATTGGCACTCATTGCCATTGCTCCAGTATTGTCACACTACACCACTGGTTCTTGAGTCTGTTGCAAACCAAGATCAGCAAGCAGTGCATTGACCCAAGTTACCTCAGCAGCCGCATTAGCAAGAGATTTATATTCGGCTTCCATCGTTGACCTGGAGACAGACTTCTGCTTCTTGGAACTCCATGCAACCAGACTTCGACCAATGAACACTCCATAGCCAGAGATGGACCGCCTGTCATCCACACTAGCTCCTCAATCCGTATCAACAAAAGCTTTAACGTTTAACCCTGCATCAGTCGACTGGACCATAGTCCATAGTTCCAGCTAAATACCTTAGTATTCTTTTAACAGCAGTCATATGTGTTTCTCGTGGTGCATGCATGTATTGTGCCACTTTCCCAACACTGTAGGCCACATCTGGTCGCGTGTGACACAAATAGAGAAGTGAACCGACTATGCTTCGATATTCACTAGGATTGACCAGTAATTTACCATTATCTACTGAAAGTTTAGGGGATGTCACCATAGGTGTCGCACATGCAACAGCTCCTCTCATTCCAGCCTTCTCAAGTAATTCTAACACAAACTTCCTTTGATTCAACAGAACTGAATCACGCGACCTTTGTACCTCAATTCCAAAGAAAAACTTGAGTTGGCCAAGGTCCTTTAACAAAAACCTATCACCAAGAAGACGAACAACTTCTTGAATCGTATTGGAAGACTGCCCAGTGATGGCTATGTCATCAACATATACCAACACATATAGATCACCATCATCCGTTTTACTAATAAACAATGAGAGGTCAGCTTGTGAGGCTGTAAATCCAAGCTGAAGCAAGTTATTTCAAAACTTAGTATGCCAGTTTCGTGGGGCTTGTCTGAGACCATAGAGGGCTTTCTTAAGTTTGCAAACCAGTGGAGCACCATCTTCATCTGTTTGCTCGAACCCCGATGGTTGTTGCATGAATACCACTTCATCTAGATCCCTGTTGAGGAATGTGTTGTTCACATCTATATGTCTCATTTCCCAATTATTCGCAACAACCACAGCCAACATAAAATTAAAGGAGGCAAACTTCACAACCAGGCTAAACGTATCAGTAAAGTCGTAACCTGGCACTTGGGCAAATCCCTTTGCAACCAGTCGTGACTTATAGCGTTGAATGGATCCATCAGGGTTACGCTTTAATTTGAAAAGCCATTTACATCCAACTGGAACACGTTCTGCAGGCAACTTGACTAACTCCCACGTGTTATTGCGCTGAAGGGCATCAAATTCAGCTTGAACAACCTCTCTCCAACTGGAATACCGTAAGGCCTCTTGAATTGTGGTTGGTATTTCACTCTCAAAGTAGCTCGAGTAAGACTTTGGTTTAAACACTCCACACTTGCTACGTGTGAGCATGGGATGACAATTTTGCAGGGAATGACTGCTCGTCATTCTGCTACAGACATTTGCACCTGTGTTTACATTGGGCTCAGTATGATCATCAGAATGCATCACATTGATCGGCAGAGACACATCTGAACTCAACGAATTGCTTGTAGAGGTATCTATTGTGGCTTATGTGGCAGCTTCCTCAGCTGCTTGTGATGGATTGCTTGTGGCATCTTCCCCATCTATTTATGATGGGCTACCAGGATCATGGAAGACCACTTCATTTCCACATGTACTTTTTACATCGTCAGGTAAACCATCTGAAGCACTTTTGTACGACCAATTCCTCACGTTAGCAACGACGGGAATGTCTGAAGACCGAATTCCATGTGATCGACATCCTGAGCCACAGCTGCCGAGCCATCAGCCACCTTATCTGCAAAAGGAAAAATTATTTCATTAAATACAACATGGCGAGATATGTAGACTCTACCATCCCTTGCAAGGCACTGAAATCCTTTGTGATGAGGGCTGAAGCCAAGATAAGTGCAAGCTTGTGATCTAAATGCCAGTTTATGATTCTGAAATAGTCTCAAGTATGGGAAACATTGGCAGCCAAAGACTCTTAATGCGTTGTAGTCTGGCTTTCTTTTGAGTAATTTTTCGAATGGGGTCATGTCTCCAAGCACCGTGGTGGGTAACCTATTGATCAAGTGTACAGCAGTCATCACAGCATACGACCAAAAATGTATGGGAAAAGATGACTGAGCCAGCAACACAAGGCCGAGTTCCACTATGTGACGGTGTCTACGATTCACAACACCATTTTATTTTGATGTATATGAGCAGGATATCAGATGCACTATACATGATTGTGCTAGAACCATCGAGAGGGGTCTATATTCACCACCCCAATCGGACTGGACTGCTTTAATCGTTTATCCAAACTGATTGTGCACAAGTTTATGAAACAGTTGAAACGCAGTGCATGCTTGTGACTTATTTTTGAGTAGGTAGATCCAAGTATATCGTGTGCATGCATCAACGAATGAGATGTAATAGCGAAAGCCGTTTGATGCAACATGTGGAGGTCATCATAAATCAGAGAAAACAAGTTCAAAGGGAGTATTGTACTGCGTATTCGAAGTTGCAAACGATAACTTATGACTTTTTCCCATAAAACAAGCTACACATGTTTTATTAACATTTGGATCAATCTTTACATCAATATCTTTGGCAATTTTATTCATTGCATATCTAGTTGGGTGTCCTAAGCGATGGTGCCAAAGTTCAAACTGTGACAAACCAGCAGATACAAGGTGAGCTACAGCAGCATCGCGCACTCCTATACACTTGCAGTCAAGTGTAAAGGTATACAATCCCCCTTTCTCATCACCTTGCAAGAGTATTTCCTTTGAAAGCTCATCTCGAACATAAAACTTCTCAGCATGAAACTTCAAATACATAGCATTGTCCCTAGCAAGATTAGAGACCAAAAATAAGTTTTTGGTTATCCAAGGTACATGCAATAACTCATTAATCAACAAAGCTCTTGAAGTAGAGTTAACAATCGAACTACCAATGTTTCTTATGTTAAGAGGAACTCTATTTCCCACAGTGAGCTTACCTGAGCCTCGAAACTCAACAGGCTTGGAGACATTTGCTGCATCGGGTGTTACTTGGTGCGTTGCTCCTGAGTCAACCACCCACTGATCAGTAGATTTGGATGTAATATTAGCTTGTTACTGGTTTGCTCCTTGATAACGTGCTTGACAGCAATCACAGCTCATATTTGGAGTTTCAGCAGCTGCATAACAAGCATTAGCAGCCTGTCCATTGTGAGGTCGTGAGTCAGAGGTGAGACACATAAAGTCCTCATCAAAGCGATGCCAACAACGATCAACTAGGTGATCAAGTTTCCCACATAGCTGGCACTGGATCTTGGCTCTTCCTCGACCACGACTGCCCGAGCTGGTACCAGAATTGGATCATGAATTCTTGGATTCATGGCGATCACTTTCAACA